AGATCTTGCCAGCCATGATCCGATCGCCCTCGTGACAGCGATGGACGCGGCAGCCGCTGACACCTGCAACGCCATGCAACGAATGGCGTCTTGCGTTCAAAACGTTCAAACATCGCCGTTGACACCAGTAAGTTTTTCCTCCAGAAGCGGAGTGGTCTCGATTCGAATGCTGTAAGAGTGGACGAGTGGACAGTACAGCTTGAGGCAATGAATCAAGCCAAGTCATGGTGTTTTCATTCCAATTTTGAAGGTATCGGTGGTATTTCCGTCGATTTGTGGATTGAGCAGAATTTTCAAGAATCTCACATCCCTAGTCTTAAGTGAAACCTAGGAAGCCTGACATCAACATGCTCAACACATCCACCTCTTCCCAGAAGTTCAAAGATCTGTAGGCCACACGCATCGCCATCTGGCAGGTCCAATACGGGGAGGCGATCATCGACCTCCACGACCTCCACAACTCCCGGGAGTTCAGGCTCCTGGCAGATTCCGAAGATTCCATTCTGAGCGATGGCGATTCTGGCGACACAATAACTGGAGCCACTGCACCTGGACCTGCTTCTGCTCATTCTGCTCATTCACTTGGATTGGCTCCTGAATCTCTGCCTTAAACTCCTGGCTCTGGGAGCAATGAGGAACAGGTGATTCGCAACGATATCAGTTGAAGTTGGGCTGGCCGAAACGAGCCTCGATTGGTTTTCCAACGAAGACGGCGGCATCTTGTGCCTTTTCCTTGGGCTTTGAACATGATGCAGCTTTGGAGACACCCTTGAAAGAACCAACCTCTTGGGTTTTGAACAGCGCAAAAACATCTCCTCTTATCAGACTACCTAAGATAACACGCGCCTGCTGAGATATGTCCACACATCCTGTGGGCTTCTTTGCCTTGGGTTTTCGAATGCTTGAAGGCACAGGTGTGTCTGAATGTGTTGAAATGGAAATGCAAGAAATGGCTTTTTGCATTAGTTCCAGTCTTCGGCTTGTTACTATTACATCGATTATTGATGATCATTGGCGCTGAAGCTAACTGTATGGTATTCTTGAATGGGTGTTTCAAAACATCGGGAGCCTGCTGAAAGCTGGGGCTTGCACACAGCAGCAGCAGCAAAATTGTCGTATTGCCGCTCGTATCATGTTTTCGCGCAGTCTCATCATGGTGTCTACAGTCGCTTTTCAAGAAACAAGTATCAAACTCTTTGCATGTGAAACAAACAACAGTGAAAACAATCCTCCTCATGGCTCTTGGCCAGAAAGCCTGTGGCTCTGTACACTTTTGACAATATGTTGTGATGGTTCCTGGGCTTCCTGGTGTCCTATGTCCACTTCCGCGGATATCTCCACCTCTGCCTTTTTGCATCATATGACCATGGGCTTCATGGTCCATTAGCTTCCGAGCAAAAGCTGTGCATGTGCCATACATCTCAAGGCCAATGGATGAACGTGCTCAACATTGCTCATCGCTCGGCCAGCATCCCAGTCTGCCACCTGTCTGCCAGTCAGGCCAGTCCTGCTTCTCAGCGTCAGCCTCGTTGTCTGCCTTCATGTTGCTGGCTGGAATGGCCAACAAGACCCGTCTCACGTAGTCCTGGGCAAACGTACGGCTGGGGGACTTCTGGGACCATCCTACTCTTTTCTGAATCTATGCACACAAACACCACAAACACTAAGAACCTGCTTGTTCAGATATTTCCTTATTTTCCTTGAGAACAGCTTCTTTGGTTTCAATTCAGGTTTGCATTTTGGCTCGTGTTTCGTTGCCTCGAAACCAAGGTCCACCATCTTGTCTGCCTGGAACGTCACGCGCTTTGAAAACAATCACGCACACATACGTTAACTGAGCTTTCATTTCAAAATTTAATGTTCTGGAGATCAGTTCACATCCGTTCCCAATGCGGTTGCATCTTGACTACCCTATGGTGATTTTAAGGCAGCTATGGAGAGTCACCATTTTTTAAATAGGTAGATCACCATTTTTATCATCTATTTTTCTATGGGCCATGGCTTCCATAGCGGCATAGCTATGCTAAGTAACCAAATTTCGTGCATTTCACTGCAGCTTCAATGCCTCATCGATGACCACATAGGTGCACTGATTGAGGACCGTGTGCCTGGCAGGAGATATCAGCGGCTGCCGTGACACCGCAATGGTACCAACAATTGAGATAGCGTTGCAATGTCATCAACAACATCAGCACAAACGTCATCAACAACATAGACATCAGCATCATGATGATCATGATGATCAGTCATGATCATCTCACATGACCCACCAGGAAACTTAGAATCCAAGTTGGAACTTGGTTGTCATCACCCATGCCGCCTCTTGTCCAAGGAATCACACAGACGACCGGGCGTAGCCTTTGAAGTACACCATCGCTATGAAGACTTCGTGCCCAACGGCAACCCAGCCAGGATTACACAATTAAGATCTTGAGTTAGCTAAAGTTATCTTGAGTTTCCACAATTTCTTCTGAAACCTGACACGATCTGAAAATTGGTGAGTTGAGGCTTCCACCATACAAATTTCTACACCCTGTCGCAGCGTAAAGGCCTCGAGCTGCCAGGATGCAAACCAAGAAAAGGAGAAAAGTAGAGCATGTTGTTCAGTATTGTTCAGTGGGGGGAAGCCCAACACTTCCCAAACATTGACGAAGCTGCTTTTCTGATGCGTTTTCATGTCTTCAAATGGCTTTATATCCAGTGGCATTTGTGCCATATCGGAAGACTGACTTCTTTGGCATCAAAACATGTCAAATCATCTATAATATCAGAATATACCAGAATATACCAGTTGAATTAAGTTCATCGCACAACAACTTATTCTTATAACTTATGGATGATTTTCCATCTGCCATGTTATCTTCAATGGATTGGTTTAAGGGACATTTTACAGGAAAGCCCCATACTTAATGGGAAAATCTATGGTTTCCTGTAGATTTTCCCTTGAACCAATCCATTGATCTTGTGAAATACCAGGTTACCAGATGATTCTCTACCAGATGATGATTTTCTAATATAATATCAGTATATACCAGATGATTTTCCATTTGCCATGTCTTTTTCTAATGGGGATGAGTTCACCCCGCCTGCTGTTCGGCATCTCGACCGCCCACCACACTGACCATGCGGCAGTCGCAGAAGGCGGCGAACTTTCGCGCCTTTTTGGATGACCAGGTCCAGAAAAAAGCCCTATCCATTCAAGCCATACCCTCTGGTAATTTAACATAGCAATTGAAAATGACCATTTATAGTGAGTTTTCCCATTCAAAATGGTAATTTTCCATAGTTATGTTAGTTTACCAGAGGGTAAAGCCATAAATGAAATCATTAACTGGTCGATGGTGCAATGTGCCCATCTTGAAAAATGATGGAGTTCGTCAATGGGGTTGGGATGACATCCCATATATGAAATGGACAATGTTAATGAAATCATGAATGAACTCATTAATGAAAGGATTGGTAGATCGGATAATGGACCAATATTATTGGACCATTGGATCTAAATCATTAAAACATCCCGAAAAAAACTAGCCTAATGGAAAACCCTGGTGGAATGTATAGCATCTACATGCATCTAGTCATGAATTGGGTCCCTTCTGGTATTGAACACGTTTGGAAACCAGGATGAAGGGAATTCCCAGGCCTCCTCTTCAATCTGAATCACCAGTTCTCGACTTGGCGCCAGGATGATTCCATAGGGTCCATCCTGTGCCGAAGTGTCATCCAGCTTGGGCAGCTTCTTCACATAGGATCTCGGCAGCGCTCACCATTCAGCATGCTTCAGCATGCTTCGGCATTTGGGTATGTCTGAAAATGGGGTATACCCCCAATTATAGCCATTTAGTAGGGATATGTAGGGATAATGATCATTAACCATTGGGTGTAGGGGTACACTATTTTCAAACAAACCCATTTGTTGTTTCTGGTTGTTTCTGTTGAAACCAAGCTGATGGCAACATTGGCAGCACATATGCTGCAGTCTTGCCGCTGCCAGTCCTTGGCGACTGCTTCTGCTGCGCGACGCACGCGTCGATAAAAGCGACGGCGACGTGACGTGTTGGGGGTCCCAGCTCGGCGACCGCAATGAGATCGCGACATTGGCAAGCGATGGGGATGGCCTGGGAAAACTGCTACAACTGCTACGCAGTCCGCTACGCAATCTGCTATACAATCTGCTACAACTGCACTTGGCCCAATTGGATTCAATTGGTTGCTGCACCATGCTGCACCTGCATCTGGATAGGGGTAGGCCTCGCATAACCAACCTGCCACGTCGCAAAGCTTCGCTTTTTTTAATGATCTTGGAGGTGAGGAACAAGCCATGATTTGTAGAGGGCAGAATCCAACAAGAATCCAACAAGAATCCATAGAGAATCAGCAAGAAATCCCCCAAAATCTGAAAAACATTGCCCATCCTGACATATCCTGACAGCCTTGTGGATGGCTTCCAACAGCTCCCATGGCAATGGACCCTCTGACCACACGCGCATGGGCACTGGCCTCAAGCGTCCATTCGCCAAACGATCAGCAGCTCTCTATGTTTGGCTAGAGAAGTTCCTATATGATACATATGATACATATGATACATCATTTATGGATCATTGTACATGTATTGATCATTGATCATTGATCATTCTTATTTGCGAACTTTTGGAAGGAACATGACTCAACCTGAGGGACAAACACGCGACCGCCACGGATGAAGATCTGGAAATCCTGAGTTGGAGCTGCCTTCAAAAATCACATCAAAGAAGCCGTAGAGTTTCAAGTTTCTGGGGTCATTGGACTCATTGGACTCATTGGACTCATTGGATGCAGGAGTTTCATGGAGTTTCCCAGGAGTTTCCCGAGTTTCCCGAGTCCTCCCGAAAGATTCGCCAGTCGCGGGTGGTCATGTCTGCCACAGGCTTCTCAGTCCAGTGGGTCTGGCGGAGTGAGATATGCGATATGCCCGATATGCGGATGTGGAAATGGTGGAAATGATGGCTTTTGAGATCTGATGTCATGACTTTTCTATACTTTTCTCATTTCTCTGATGTTTTTCCCTAATTTTCTTTGAGTTTTTCACCAGAACTTTTTCTGGCCTTGTTGATATCCTTATCCTCGATATCTCGTTGTTTGAAGGACAACGGCTCCTGAAAAAAATCGTGGTTCCCATGACAGGATATTATCGGCGTCACCTCCAGAATCTACCAGAATCTCACAGAGTCAGATTCTCCTTGGAGGGCTGGACGAAAGCTGACACGTCCTCAGCGATCAAGTCATGGAGAAACTGAATGACAAAATGAAAAAACCAGGTGACCTGCTGCTGTTTATGATGAGTGGATCTGATTGCTATGTTGGCTATGTTAAGATGTTAAGGTCTGCTCTCTACTTATTCAAATGATCTCTGGTAAAGGCCACATCAACACATAACACTAAGGTTCACACCTCGCCGGAATACTCTGCACGCTTCGCGATCAGCTCTTCATAGAAACTGGCAAATATGTGGTAGACACACACGTCCACTGGGTGAATTTGAAGCTGCGAAACATTTCTAGACTGTGCCTTGTTCTCGTATGAAACACGCATACGGAATATAGAATGCGTGTTCAAAAATGACACTGCTATCTTCAACTGCTCCCTCTGCAACTTGTGCAACTTGTGCTCGCCTGTTGTTCTTGCGCTGTTCGCGTACGTCAATGCCGGCTCTGTATCCCCGGCCTGAAAAGAACTGCTTGCGGTGACCCACTGAGCTGAACCCAACCGGATCTGGTGATCCCTGGGCGCCCAGACCGAAAAGGAGCTGTGGCTCCAGACGTTTGGTGTACAGCCTCACATTTCAAATCTGAAAACAAAAAAAAAGGCTCTGAAAACACAAAAAGTCGTTCGAAATTTGAAGTCACAGTCACATGAATGGACGAAATTTTCGATTCCAAAAGGATCCAAGCTATGCGCATCCATATCACATCATATCACTATGAGCCCTTCAAAGGCCCTGACGGATTGTTGTCACCTCGCATGGTGTCGTCATCTGCATTCCACCTTAGACCAGACTGCCAATGTCTAACCGAGAAAACCACACCTCCTTCCACGGCTTTTGCCGGTGGAGTTTTCTGTCACACGGTCATCAAGTCTGGGGATTCAACTCGAAGTTGAAGATATTTCTGAACTTCTCGGAAGGCTTCTGCATCTTCTTCTTGTTCTCCTGACAGTCAGGGCTAACCGGCAAACATAGAATATCTCTGCTACAAAGCTAAAGAGTTGTCCTCAAACAAGAATCAAAGTTATTTTGGATATCTAGGAATTTGTGCTATTAGAAACATGACCAAAGGCACAACGAGTTCAAGCACTGGACCAGCCGCAGGCTTCCAAGCAGCTTCAAATCTGCACATGGGTCAAACGGTTAGACCATGTTCAGCTGTGTCCACGCCTTCATGCCCAGGTAGTGTCTCTTGATGAGCTCCAGCTCCTACAGTGACTGCAAGCAGCTTAGCATAGCTGAGCATAGCTGAGCATAGCTGAGCATAGCTGAGCATAGCTTAGCGGCTTAGCATAGCTTAGCTATGCCATCGTCAAATCTTCTGCGAGTATCACTCGAAGTTGGCCGAAGCTGATGCCTTCTCTGCCTGTCGCTCTCGTCTCTCTTGATCTGGCAGCTTCCTTGGAGTGTCGGAGACTTTTCGGGGGATTTTTCGATTCAGGCTCCAGGGAGATCATCCAAGATCCAGGACTTGATTGGAATAAGATATGGTTGATTCAATTGGAATATCATATTGGAATAAGATCATGTTGGATATCAACCATATTGGGATATCACAAGATCTTGGACAGTTTGATTCCTTTGATGGTTGTGTTCCCAAGTGTTTCAAGCATCCTGTTTCCAAATTTTCTGCCGAGCTGCAGCAAATTCATCTCTGCCAAAGAACTGGTCTGCATCAAGCCTTCCTGGGGGTTTGGTCCCAGAAACCCGTGGCGTTTCGGACTCCCTGCTGCTGTTCGGCCATTGAAACATCTACCCAAAATGGTGATATCACTGGTATTTGTGGCATCTATCATGGTACCCAACGGAAGAATGCTACCCGAACCCCAGAACCCCAGAACCCCAGAACCCCAGAACCCCAGAACCTGCACCACCTTTCAAAGGAGACTAACAAAAATCAACCAACGAAAATCTGAATCAACAAAAACAATCTACAAGTTATTTTTGCAAAGTAGGAATAGTAATGAGCCAATGAGAATTGCTGAAATTGACCTGAAAACTCAAGGGCATCTTGTCTTTGGTTTGATATGTTTGATATGTTTAACGAATAGTGTCGGACCAAAACTCTGCTGCCATTCCAACTTCCGGTCCTTCTCTTCCCTTTGCTTCAGCCTTTCCTTTTCGCGCTCCTCGCGTTCACGCTGTCGCCTGACACAAGTGCAACTCCATACAGCTTCAACTGTTTCAAAAGCATTTTGCACTCCAAAAATCAACAAAAATCAACAAATTCAACGGGCAGTTCTTAGGCAAAGGTAGCACCATGGTAGCACCCAATGGTAGTAGTTGAGGCATTGGCTCTTCTTCTCGTCGCTTTCGTTCCTTCTCACGCTCTTCACGCTCTCGCTGACCTGAACGTTGAGCCATGGCCCGGGTTTGGCTTATTTTGGATGGCGGAACCCAATGGAAAGCCATTGGAAAGCCATGAAAAGCCATGGAAACCGCCACAGGCTTTGAAGGATCCAATGCTCTCAGGTTCCAACGCTCGCGCTCGCGCTCAATCTCCTCTTGCAGAAGGAAGTCCTGCAGAAAACGGGACAGCTGAATACAACAAATACCATGGAGTCCATGGAGCTTGGAACCCAAACTCTCGTGGTCCCAAAAAAATGTTCCTCAAAAGAAACATGGCAGGGTTGACACATGTTGACACATGTTGACACCTCATGAATCCCTGGCTCTGCAAGGTGTCCATAGCAGAAGCAAGTGGCAAAAGGATGCAAAAGGATGCAAAAGGCATATCCCAAGTACATCACCATGCATCACCATGCATGGTGCCATGCATCACCATGCATCACCATTTTTCTGCACATTCATCTGTACAGCTGCAACACCGAGTGAGCCACATCTGCTTTGCAGCCGGCTTCCCAGTCTCAGCTTTCAGATCGAGCTAAAACAGCGGGAAAAAATCGTCAAGGAGAACTGTACTCTCCGAAGGTTTCTTGTTCTGTACTCTTCAGAAGCCTCAACGATTGGCGCTGTTGCTGTCGCTCCTTTGCTACTAGCCTGCGCTTCAAACGACGGGTCTCGGTGCAGCGAACAGCTTCCCAACAGTCCCAAACCACTTCGCCAGTCTCTGGGATGTAGACTTGACCCTTGCTGCCACCCCGTGAAGCTGCCTTTGCATGTACTTGGTGTGGAGAAAATGTTTCAGAAGAGTTGGCCGGTTGAGCAATGAAAAGCGGTGCTACCCGCTCTTCTTTGAAGATAACTCGTGCTCCTCCAACCACTTTGATCTCATCATTCTTTCGGAATTCCGTGCAGGCATAAACTGGAGCTGGTGCAGCGGCTACAACAGGAGCTGCAGGTCGATGATGATTTCGATGGCCACTTTTCAACGGTGCTGTCACTGTAGCTGCCTTGGGTGCAGCTACTGCCACTCGTGGTCTGGGTGGAGCATCAGGGTCAAGGACTCCACAAATCAACCTTGGAGGTCATGGTGCGCCGATCCATACGGTATACTATACTATCAACCCTGGATAAAACCCTAGGCTCTTTAATTGAGAGAATACCATTTCACTATCAGATCATCACTATTCGTGGAGTACCACCCCTAATAAATAGAAATAGACCATGCTGACCATTAATCCCGGGTTGACATTACAGTAGTTCAACACCAAAAACTGAGGCCAGCACATGTTCGGAGTGTCACTGAAGCCTTTTGAGAGCCAAAGATTTCCTGCAACTGATGGGTTCAATGGTGCTTCAAATCATTTCAAATCTCACCGAACACCGAAGAATTCCGAAGAATCACTGAGCATGGCATTTTTGGATATTTTTGGATGATATCTGTGCAGCCCACCTGGCATCCCAGTGTAGATGCCCACCCCATGGGCAGAACCGTTGGCGACTCTCACACCACTTTTCTGGCCAGGGACCTTCAAACCTGTGCTGAGAATGGAGGGAATGTTGGCCACCTTGGTTCCATGATAGCCATAGTCTGGCACGGCTGAGGTTTCCTTCTGTTCCTTCACGAACTGCTCCTCGAAACAGGTGGATTCATCATGTTCAATGAAATCAATTAAAAAAGGAGACATGATATTGAATTATATTGAATATATATATATATATATTGAATTGATGGAAAAACATGGTATTGAACCCAAAATCTAAGGGGATCCCAACGATACATTCTTCACCTTTGCCGGGATCGAGATGTTGCTTCCGGTCCTTGATGCCAGGTGCTACTTCTGCCGGTGTCAACTTGTATCCCTTTCCCAGTTCGGCATGAAGGTTTCCAGCATATTGTTCCAGAAACTGCTGTCGCATCTCATCAAAGGCCGCATATTTGGATGTCTTGGCAGCTGTCTGGTAGTCATCAGGTCCCCACTCTTCCATGATCTCCTCCCTGGCAGCCTTCAGGGCTCGATCCTTCACTTCGATTTCAGCATCGCTGGGAATGCGCTGCCGAAGCAAGTGCTGATCAACATGCCAATAACAGTAGAAGTCTTCCTTTTGGGATCCACGTTTGATGACTTCACAGTCGCGGGAGAGGATTGGATCCTCCATGGCCTTTTGGTGCGCGGCATTTTCCATCTGATCCCAGTAATCCGTTTCCGTTCGTTCCATATGTTCCATGCCTTCACCAATGCCTTCACCAATGGGAGCCAAAGCAGCATGCAGCACAGCCATCCCAAGGCGAACAGTCTGTGCCGTCTGTGCCTGTGATGTCTGTGCTCGCTGGGTTTCTGTCTGTGTCACCGGTGTACTCAGGGCTTTGTTCATTTTGTTCAACTTCGGCTTGGCGAAATACGCCACGTATTTCTCACTGATGGCTTTGGCCACTGCGGCGCCATTCCTCAACTCATCTCGTTTGGTGGGGGGCAACATCAAAGCTGCGGCCAAATCATCCGCATTTTCCACGAGTTCCATGACATCACAAGCACCTTGTTCTTCACACCATTTCCTCACTGGCTCGAAATAGGCCAACAGAGTCATACTTTGGAGAAACTCCACCAGCCCTGGAAGCCCTGGAAGGCTGACTTGGAATCCTCCATGTCCATGTGATCCATGATGGACTCCACCTGCCGAAAGGTCGCCGTTGTCACCGAAAGGTCCCACCGTGCTGTGCCGCAGCAGCACGGTGCGGCACGGATATCCCATGGGCACATAGGGTGGGACCTGCACCATTCGACGAGCCGCCATGGATATGGAAATCACAGAAATCACAGAATGTTTACCCCCCTAAAAATGTGTCTTCGACACTGTTGGCATGAGTGCTTCAATATGCTTCAATGTTGTGTTCAGCTTAGCATCAATAACTTGACACGAAGTGTCGAGGGCGGGAAGGCAAACAGCGGCTCAACATGGCTTAAAATGAAAGAGACTGTTCAAATCTGTTCAAATCTTTTCAACTTTCCAAGCTTTTGCAGCAGTTTCACATGTTTCACCAGCGTTTCACCACGTGTTTCACCTTCTCGCAAGCAATACTTTGGAATTCACCCAGTTTGGTCCTTTCTTCGCTTCGAGGCCTCTTCGGCCTGCCGAGTGAGTTGGGACAGCACACAGCTTACCTACAGCTGAATCCTACAGCTTACCTACAGCTTACCTACAGCTTAGCATATCGACTGACCTAGGCAATCATGGCAAATCGAGATTTGGCGCATTTCAGCTGAAATCGACTTGAAACTCATTGAACTTGCTGAACTGTTAGCAGCTGAGAGTGGCTTTGCAGTCAGACTCGGTCCTTCTTCTTCTGCTCAGCCTTTTGCTTGTCTGCTTCTTTTACAGCATTCCTCGGAGATCGGATCGAGAAACTACTGGAAAAAACATGATATACTCCTCAAACAACCATCAAATCATCAAATCAATGGGGAACATCAGCAGTATCCATTTTTGTTTTTTGATTTTCCTCCAAGGGCTTCACTTTTCACGGTCGTTCTTGGACACAAATTTCAGCTTGGGCGCCTTCAGGAGTTAACATCCACACATTTCAAATCTGCTATAATCTGCTATAAAACAAAAACATCTATCTTTTGACTGTTACTATATCATCTATCTATCCTATCCTCTCCTATCCTATCGAATCTATCTAATCTTTCCTATCTAATCTATCTATCTATCTTCTGTCCAAATTTGGCATTGCTGGTGCCTTGTTCTCCTCCTTGCGCTTGGCTAAGACCTGCTCCAGCGACATGACTTCGCCCTTGGAATCGCCGTCGCCCTTCTGTCGCTTGGCATCGGCCTGGGGGCCTGAGCAACAACGATCCATGGGAGATCCATGGAGAAATTTCTGGGGAAAATGATATAGGATACCATGGAGAATACCCTCTGGTTCATGGAGAATACCATGGAGAATACCATTTCAATACCTGGATATATAACTGGTTGGTGGTGCAATAACCCTCTGGTTATGTCAACAGTTTGCTATTGAAAATGGCCCAGTCGAAATAGTGAGTTTTCCCATTGATAGCATGGTGGATCTTTCCATAGTTATGTGGCTGTTTACCAGAGGGTATATAATAAGGGATAATCTTCCATCTGGGGAACTATGGGAAAATGATGATATGCGGGATGGACCAACACAACTAGTGATAAGGATATTCGAGAATCTTAGAACACCGTGGAGAAATGAAGATTTTGATTATAAGTTTGATAAATCTGTTGAACTATGTTAATTAATCGGTGAACCAATCTGCAAACTGGTTTCAATAAAAAAATCTGAAATGATAAAGAAATGATACTCTGCTAGCTGAGTGCTGGTCCATCACTCTTTCTTTTTGCGTCCTGCATCAACAAAGAAAGGGACTTGGCGACCACATGGACTGCAAGTGCTAGTCCTCGGCAACCATTCTGCGTAACGGTTTGACCTGCAGGTTCATATCCACAATATCTGTCACTGCAGCCACCGAACATCTACAACTCATAGTCGGCTTTAGGCATGTTTCTCATCATTTTTCACATCATTTTCCCCAGTCGAACATATCATCATTCTTTTCATCATGTTCACATCATGTTCCATCATTTCCCCATCATTTTCTCAGCATTTTCACATCATTTCATTTTCCATCATTCCACCATTTTCACATCATTTTCCATCATTTTTCCATCATTTTCACATCGTTTTCCCATCATTTTCACATCATTTCCCCATCATTTTTCCATCATGCTCACATCATTTTCCATCATTTTTCCATCATTTTTCCATCATTTTCACATCGTTTTCCCATCATTTTCACATCATTTCCCCATAATTTTTCCATCATGCTCACATCATTTTCCATCATTTTTCCATCATTTTCACATCGTTTTCCCATCATTTTCACATCATTTCCCCATCATTTTTCCATCATGCTCACATCATTTTCCATCATTTTTCCATCATTTTCACATCGTTTTCCCATGTATTTTGCAATTTGCAGACACACCTCAAGTCGTGGTGCCCCTCGCCAAGCCTCTGCACCGTGTCACCCGTGCCCTCTGCACGGCCACGGCGATGCTGAGCCAAAATGATGTGGCCAGTGAGATAGACATCTGAGAAACATCGAAGAGTATGATGAAATCATGTAATCACATGTGGTCTAGCCAAAAGTTCCCTGCAGCTGATGATGGAATTCCACCATCCTGCTAGGAAAGAAATAATTAATTAGGTTCAGATGCAAAAAGCTCCGATCCCCGTGGTGATCACATGCAATCATAGATTATAATAGGCTTATAATAGGCTTATAGGATCTGGGATATTGTTGAAACATAGCTTTCTAGTATTGAAACATAGCTTTCTAATTCTCTAGGATATATGTTGAATGTTGAGGGATTTTGCAGGATTCTAGTGTCACGCCTACCAAATCCTACACCTTCATGCTGAACCCCCGTTGATCCCACAAGTTCTTTCTAATCTGCCGGATCTGCATCGGATCTACATTTGTAGACACGAGAACCACGGCGAAGTCGCCGAACCGTGGGCTTAAAAATCCCCACCGTCCCCTCTTCAAGGGCGCGGCTGAGATTCCGTCGGCCACAAGCGCTGCAACCGAAAGGAAAATGATGCACCAGTCCCAGCGGAAGGGACTTGGGCATGCTGGGCATGTTGCAAATTCGCTGCATGCTGTAGCTATGCTGTAGCTAGTTCTCGGCTCCTTGACATCCTTGACTACAGATACAACATGATACAACGTATGAACCAAACAGGTACAGTCCAGCTTCAAGCCACTACATTTCGCCACGAGAAGCCCCTTGGGAATGTCACTGGTGACTGATGAAGCTCTAAAACGCTCGACTCTGTGCTTCATCGGCTTAATCATCTTCGAAGAATTTGTTGAGATTGCTGCCTCAGCCGGGTATCAAAGCCTCCTGTTTCAGTTTAGAAAGATGTGAAGGATTGTGAATGATTGTGAAGGTCATTGGTGCTACATGGTGCTACATGGTACACCAAGGTGCTACACATTCTCCACATTTCTCATGGCCTCATGGCACTCTGGGAGGTCAATTTTAGTGGACCTCCATTTCTAAGGCCCCGCACCATCTGATGCTGGGCTGAGGTCGACTTGCAACCTGGAATTTCACTGGATTTAAGAGCTCGAATGTTGAATGTTTCATCCCGGCTGGTCCATGGAAAAAATATGGAAAAAATGAGATTTCTGGATGATGTTCCCATAGAAAAATGACTTTGGCATTTTCATATGTCTCCAGACATTTTGAGGCAGTTTGGTTCACGGCTGAGTGCCCAACCCTTTGCCAGAGACAGCCTTCTGCAGGTGGTGCAGCCGGTGCCCAATCTCCTGCAGACATTGAAACTGGCCTTTTGGTGAAAGAACAGGTCTTCATGGTCTGTTCGAATATGTTGGAATATCTTGGAATATGTTGGAAGTTGGAATGTTGATTGAACTGATTGTCCGGCATTTTCCAAGATCTATGTTGGTAGCTTTTAAAGATACTGCTGATAGTCTCCCAAAATTGGATGGACAGTTCTACGATGACCAATTTGCTTCGTAACCCCGCCTTGGTACCCATGCGACCGGGCGGGCTGCGTCCAACTTTCGGCGTGGATGCAACAAGGGCTTCCCTTTCCTGCCGGCCCAATGACATGGGTTTCCCTGAAGAACTGAAAAACAACCATTTTACTGAAATCCAGTAGCTGGTTATCCTACTTTTCACCATTTTTCACCATTCAGATTGTTCTTTGGGAATCAATCCCCCGAAGACAGACACTCACAAAGCATGTCCAAATTTGTTTCGATTTTGGGTGCCTTGCTGGGGCTGCTGGGGGCGGGTATTTCTCGTCATCAGCAATGCTAAGAAGCAGGCCACAAGTGAATTTGGAGTGGAAAATATCAGCAGAAAGTTGAGATCGTTCCCCAGCAAAGGTACTCTTTAAACAGGACCGGGTATTCAAACACCTTGGAATTTATTTAGTTCTTGCATGTCTTGGCAAATTGATGCAAACTCATTGCTTCCAAAACATGCATATTTAATTCATCCCCCACATAGGATTTTCCCACGCCCAAAAACCAGTCAGTCAAAATCACATCAAATCTTCACATCAAATCTATGCGTTGGAAGATTTTTTTTTGCTGCATACCAATGCCGCATGGGAGTCATATGTAGAACTATTTTCGAAATTTATTGCAGATCTCACCTGCTAAAATCTAAAATAGTTTGATAAATAGAGATCAAATAAATCCTGAATTCTTGGGGTCCAAAAAAAGATGAGCAGCCCATCAGTTGCGCAGTTTTCATCCAACAGCTACAGGCCTCCCTGTTCGGAAAGGTGGCTTTGCACACCACCTGAGCGATGTCAACTGCCTCCAACTGAGATCCTGAAAATTCCTGGAATTTCCTCTAAACATATCTAAAGTATTCTAAAGTATTCTTTCTAGTCAACAGCATCTTGGACTCTGCACTTTCTGCACTTTCCCATTTGCCAATGATGGCAATGTTTGTGACTTTTTTAGTGGCTACTGGCTACTCGCATCTTCCTTTCACTTTCTCGAAAAAGTCTCACTATGCCTCGCAGAAATCGTGGAGGTGAACAGAGGCCTTCAGAGCGCCACATCCCGAAGCAAAACGAAAAAAGCGTCCGCAGCGTCACAAACCACACCTGCGCTGTCCCAGAGACTCTGCCAATCATATCCTGGTCGCACAGTTCAACACAAACCATGATGTAGGATGGAACATGAACTATATTTAAATACTTTTGAAACCACCAACCAGTCATTTTTCGAATCAGTTGCATCAATTTTGTTGCAGGTTCTGCGACGCGAACAAAAAGGACTCCTTCACTTCGTCATCAGAGAAGCTAACTGGAGTGATCTCGCGAAAGGCTGCCTCAATGGAAAGGTGATGGAAACTGGGGAACAATTGGGGCCTTTTTCTGGAAGATGTGCAAAAAAAACCTTCGGGGTTTTTAGATTCGAAGAAACATGGCGGTTTCGTGGGAGTTGATTTGGGATGGGGAATTTGCCCAGCAACTCATTGGATACCCTGCATGCCATCCCCCTTTAGATCCAACATTTTCCACCAAGGTTTCGTTTTCGGAGTATCTGAGAGTCTGCGGGGATTAACACATCCAGAACTCAGCAGAATTCAGAAGAAATTCGATATATTTCAGCTGCATATGCTGCACATTTCCAGGCTTCACGTTTCCCTCCGAACCTCTAAGGTGTCGATATGGATAGATTGTGCATCCCCAGCGAAGTAGCGAAAGGCGCACCTTTGCAGTTGCCAATTTCCAACAGATCCAACAGGCTCAACACAACGGTGCCATGAGATCTGAGCCGATGACTCCAAATCACCAACCGCGCGCAGTCGATCTGTGCGCAGCGATGCCTCGTAGGCTCTTAGGAAATCCTCGAAGCTGATCCTCAGCTGAGCCCCGACATCGGGATCATCGGGTCCCCTGGAGATGGGAACATGAGCCCCACTCAGCCCCACTCATTGGGATAGGGATCCAATGGATCCAACATTCATGGGATGGTCCATTGAGTCCATGGAGTCCATGGAACCAAAGCAGCTGAGGCTCTGATAATCCGGAAAGCACTCCAGAAGTAAAGTGGGCACCTGAACTCACCACCGCGGCATCGATGTTTGCAACAAATCACCTACAAAGCTGAGTCCCCGAGCATCAACGTGAAAGTTCGTTCGCAACTCAAAACCTGGGCCGAGAACTCTGCGGTGACCATTCAGATATAGGAAATCCCCATCTGGTGATTCACCTTTTCAATATGTTTTTAATACAAAGAAACCATAGGAACTATAGGAACTGGTGACTTTTTGGACAACAATTGGCTGAGCTTTTCACATGCTTCCTCGAGATCTTGGAGATGGATATTCTCATCTCTGTCTCGGTCGAAGAACCTCAGATCTTGATCCCACATCCCCAGATATCCCCAGGTCTCAGGTCCCTCAACGTCAACTGAGCAGCTGAGGCTCCCAACTCAAAAGCGTCTCGGAGCTCTTCGTTGGATAAAGGATGAACCTGTGCTGTGCATGTTCCATCAGTCCCGCAAGCGTCCTTATCAGCCACCATTGCTATCATCAATATCATTGCTATCATTTAAATCGTTGGTCAGTTGAACGTGCCAACAAAGTCTCATTTCGTCTGTGTGGAAATCCGCAAATTCACACAAATCCAATTTTCACATTTAACTCAACTCTGTTCAACTGGAAAATTGCCAACAAAGTTGCCCCTTCTGTTCAACTCTCCGTTCGAGCAATGCTGGCGACCCGGGTTGCACCTTCTCTCTGCCAGCCACACACTCCAGCCATGCCCTGGCAAAGGAACTCGTGCTGGCAGCAAACTGCAGAGACACCATGGACAACAGTTCCCAGTGTGGAAATGCCATGAAATACCGTGGTGGATCTTCAAGAGTCACACCTAATCATAAGAGATGATGTTCAGAGTGTCTTCCAAATCTTCCGAAATAGCATGTTCTCATGACTTGTTTCCACGCCATGAAGTTCTCCAGCCTCGCGCATTCGCGATGCTTCTCATAGCCGTCCTGCAGATTTCGCTTCGAGCTTCGACACTGACACGACACTGACATGACACTGACACGTCTGACAGCTCCCTTCGCCTTCAGCATGAAGTTCACAAAAACGGGAAAATGATCCGAAGGACTCGGCAGACATCGAACCAGGACTCCAAATTGGACATTTCAGCAGGGGAAAACCGGAAAACCTCAAAACCGCATGAAAATGTGTGCCATGTCTGTGAAACCCTCCGAGCTCAAAACTGTTCCGCATTGGGAATGACCTGCACACGTGACTCTGGTGATATCTGGTGATCTTGGGATGGGATCCTCATCCACAATCCCAAATCATCCACAATCCCCAGGACTTCCATTTTTTTCCCGGCTGAAACCGTCGCCGTGAAACCCTGGCAGACCAAATAGATCTCACTGCTCTCGGGTCTGGAGGCGGAAGGCTTGGCAAAGCGCACCTAGCTTCGAACAACGCCCTGTGATCCCTGTGATCCCTGTGATCCCCTGTGATCCCTGCCGCTCCGATGGGTCGTGACGGTCACGCCTTGTCGAAGTGCTGCTCCAATTCGGCCTTGAACTGCTCCAGTGAACCTCCCTGAAAGACTTTGGTGACCTCGGAAACATAGTGAAATCTGGGTGAAACACAGTGAAACCATTTTGCAAGAACTAAAATATGAGAAAATCATGGAACAAAAAGATCTTCAACAGAATTTTTATTGTGCAATTCCTGTATTCCTTTTCTCCCTTTCTGGCAATCGATAGCTGAATCCAATCAGCTATCGCAGCTCTGAACATGTCCCCTCTCCAAATATGTTGACTTGTGAGACTGGTGCAAACAGGTCAAAAACTGATTGCGACAAGCCATCACCATAATCATGCGGATCTCTATATATATATAGATACTGTACCCAATAATTGGTTCAACAAGAAGTATCAAGAAGTAACATCTCTTCAACTTCTGATGTTTTCTTTCGCCCCTTTAAATCTAGTACTACTAGTGATAGTATTGCATGCAATGTGGGCCAACCAATCATAATTGACCAATTTTTTCATGGTCAATACACACTCATTTCTGATATTGGGGATGAACACACATGGTGTATTAAGTAAAATAGATTTATAACTTACCACATGAGTGGTTGATGTCCCAGCCGCGAAGCAGCCGTTGCCGCGCAGGAATTTCAAGGCCCAACGCAGGGCCGAACGGTTCAGCTCCACGGAGCTGATGTGGTCGTCCATTTTGGAACCAGACATCCGGGGCGCCTCAGCTGTGGGTTCCCCATGGGTGAAGTCTGGTGGAAGGGATTGATGGACACAGCATATGAAAAATGGACATGATATGAAAAAATTATAGATATTGATCCATAGCCATGTCTATCTTCAAGGAACTTACCTTTTTCTCATAAAGAGATGCATTCTTAGTGTCCAGCCAAATCCGCAAGCACCACACTCGCCTGACGCAGTGTTGAGAGCACCACTGAAGACTGTCCATGATATCATAACCACCCCAGTCATGTCTCTCTTAAAAATAAAGAACCCAACTCTCATGGGCATGGGTCAGACTTGAAGACTAACAGAACTATAGATGCTTACCCTCTGGTAATTTAACATAGCTATGGAAAATCACCATTTTTAATGGGAAAATCCACTATTTCTATGGCCATTTTCAATAGCAAACTGTTAGTTTACCAGAGAGTAACATCATTTTTTCACTTTTTTTAACATCACATTTCTGTCAGTTTTCTGTCAAGAACTCAGTGCCGTTTCGTCTCGAAGCCAAAGAAATCGCAAAAAAACCTCCTGCCTGGCGACCGCAGAGAATTTCCTCCACCTGCCTGGCCAGGATGAAAATCAAACATGGATGAAACCAATCGATTAACCAATCGATTTTTTGGAAAGTGCTTGGGGATTCTCAACTTTACTTTCAGGTTCAAAGTTTGCTGGACAACTTCAACGGTGGATTCGTTCAATAATATTTCTTGCGGCCTCACAGTCGATTCTTTCTCGATGTCACCTTGAACGAAGTGGTGATTTTCCAAGGGTTCCATCAAGACTTTGTCCTCAGATGCCAGTTTTATGGATGGACTCGCCCCAATCATGAAATCTGGAAAAAACGGTGTGGAATCAAGTGATTGACCTGTGGTATTTGATGTCAAATCCTGCGGATCATCATCTCCTTTGTTAAGATGGGAGCAAACAAAAGGTGAAACTGTGAAACCATCAATCAGTTTCATGAATTCATCTGATTTCAATACATTCCCATGAATAAACTCAATAAACTCGTTGTTCAAACAAAAAACTGCCCGGTGAATGTGCACCTTTTTTGGGGAACACATCAACAGCTGCTGAGTGGCTACCCCAATGACCAGCCCCTCACGGCTCACGCGTTCCAGGATGATCTGGGACCAGCCACCGGCGTGGCAGCCCAGATCGATCACCACGGCCCGCCTGGGCGTTTAAACAGCCGCTTTCGTCGTGGTTTTTATAGATGTTTTTATGGTTTCTTGGGGTTCATGGTCAACCAATTTCTTGGGGTTCACGGTTTATAGATGGTTTATATTGTTTTATAGATGTGTTTACCATTTTTGAAGTCATTCCCAAATTTGATCGTTGCAGGTTGAACACAGAAAGTTGAGAAGTCCATGTCATGCGTGCGTATGAAGAGTGTCCTTTTCGTTTGACATTACTTGAGGCCCAAGGGGGGGTGAACCAAAGCCAAGGTTTATGAGCATGGAAACACGATGGGATTTTGATGGGAGTTGGATATGCTGAATACAGATTGCCTAGAGACCTGGCAGGATTTGAGCCCGTGACCATCTGCTTACAAGATCGCCCCAAAAATGCCCCGGGAGCTGAGGGGGGGGTTTCGAGTGAAAAATCACTGTGTTGGACTCAGACCTGCCCCTCCCCTTGCTGAAGCAAGAGTAACTCCAGCTAGCTACCGCTAGCTTTCGTGATCAATTTACGTAATTCTTTGATACCTTCCAACTTGAACTTCTTGCAATCTGCTAATTTAAACTGCTTCATTTACCCCTGCTGCGAAATGATCTCTGACGCTTCAAACCCAAACCGCTTCAAACCGCTGCCTCCTCACCCCGCCTGGTGAGGAAAGAATATCTCACATCCAGTTGTTTCAGCTTGAAGGCAGCTCTTGACCTGAGAATTGTCTGGGACTCTGAGTCGAAGACTCAGCTTGATTGAAAGCAATTTGTAGATGACCAAATTGCTTACTTGGAACTATGTTGAACTGGTTGAATCACTAAAATCACTAAAACTTTGCTACACCATGGTGCACCTGTACAACCTTTCGTGCGCTCGTTGCACCCAGCGATCTTTGGCTTGGCGTTGGATCCATTGCAAGCTGTGACCTTTGCTGCCATGGCAAAGTCGTGAGAAGTGCATGGCGCCCGGTGGCGCCGGTGGCGCCGGTGGCGGGCCATCAGCCACGGCAGAACCCAGGATTTGCACTGCAGCTTTTCTTCTGCTTTTCTGGCTTAAAGTGCTGAAAATGCTGAAAAAATACATGTTATGAGCTGAAAAATGAGGTGAACATGAGATGAGAGGGATATTCTTCGGAATTGCGGGACCTATTTCTGAGCTTCGGAATGCGAGATGAGTTGCTAGCTTTTGAGCTTTGGCAATACAGCGCGTTTTGTTCATTGCAAGGTGGGTGGCTTCTTGTCAGGTATCAATCGCCCACTCTGTTAAGCATGCCATGTGATTTATGTGTTTTTGCATCTTTATGATGTCCATATGCCTACACAGAAGCTGTTTCCTCTAATCGCCGTGGCTCGACAAGATTCTCATCTTCTAAGCTATTGCTCGGCCAAAGCTTGCCGGAAAATGGCGGGTTTTTCCTAAAATGGGTACCAGGTACTACTGTTGATACCATTTTTGATCCATTTTTCATAGGATTTTCCATCAACAATCCAGTTTTCGACTGGCACCTCCCCATCCTTCAGCTTCGGCATTGGATTCACATCCACGACCTGATCAACAGACTCGGAGTCGGCATGGGAGTCACGATCCTTGACACACAGTGAATGATAGGTGTTTCTTTCGACAAGAACCCTCCCTAAAATATGACAGCGAATGCGCCCAATTTTTGTATCGTTTGTCAAAGCCATCTCATATTTGTTAAAGCCTTCATGTCTCCATAGTGCTCCATGCCCAGCCTCCATGTGGCTGCTGAGGTATTGAACCACATCAATGCGACAGTGACGTGCCTAGGGCGACACGATGTGAAACCACAGTGGCTTGTTGGGATGGCTTTCAAACCTTCATACAGTGCCAGAGATCATCATGGTCATCAACATATTAGTGATAATAGATGATAATAGTACTAATACTTAGTTACTAACCTACATCCGTCATAATATAATGCCAATAGCATTTCTATTCAAATACATCGATATGATCAACGGATCAGCATTTTTTAATCAGCTCGAAGTTCGCGAACGTGATCACACAGCAGAGCCTTGGTCACAGATGTCGCCCCAGTGTTCACGTCCGTGGCGTGCCACAAAAACCTGGCAACAACTCACACACTGAACACTAGAGCCGTTGACGAGCCATTGAGGAAAAACCGCGCAAGTCGCCAGCACCACTTGTGGATCGGGTCCCCTTTGATTTGCCAAACCTCAGATACCAAGGAAAGCCCCAACAGATCAAATTCAGCAAAGGCGCTCGAAATGCATTTTTTTCCCACCCGCTGCAAGCTGTTCACATGTTCCTGTAGAAGAAACCTCAGTTGTCAACATCAAATGCTGGAGGGATTCTCTCGTTCAGGAAGACAACCAAAGCGCCCTTGGAAACCTGTGTGCGTTCCGTTTGGGCATTTCAACTCACTTGGAACCATCTTACATTCATACATAATATATATATATATATATATTGTAGGACATTTTCTAGGGCCGAAACTTTTCAACACTTTTGGGTCAGGGGGCTCACCACATCATGCGCTCGAGTCATGGTGAAGGAGATCTTGATTTCACTGGCTCGGCCCTCAAAGGCCACAACCAGCCAGGCAAGCCTTGGCTTTGCTGGAAACGGTGATGCTAACGTGTGGTTGAAGATGGACAAAAACCAATGTGAAATCCAGTCAAAGATGATCAAAGTGAAAAATGATCAACGATGATGGCAAATTTGAAGAAACAGGATCTATCTTACTACATCTTACTACATTCATTTCAAACTATTTCCGGAACCACCCGAAACACCGTCAAGTGGCAGCAGGATCAACATCACCATCCCGGCAGTACTCAGCAGCAGCAGCAGTCCCAGTGCCACGATACCGAAGAAGCTGAAGGCCAGCAGCATCTGCGGTCGTAGGCAGCAGCTGAAGATCAGCAGCGGCACCAGCAAGCGCGCTGCGAAGTCGAAGACTTCGGGATCTCCGCGACGTTGGAACAACAGCAGGAAGTTCCAGCTGCCGATGTAACCTGAGCTATTGATGATTGCAAATGACGATGAAAGTTGATGAAAGTTGATGAAACTTGATGAAAGTTGATGAAAGTTGATGAAACTTGGTATGGCCTGACCTATTATATAACCTGTATTGCAGGATATTGGGCATAAATGATGGCCTTGCAATGATATCTGAGAGTCTCAGAGGTAGAAGATCTGAACCCGAGTCGCAAGTCTGATTTTGCCGTCTCAACACATTACCAGGAGGAAACGACATTATATATATTTTATATTGTATTAAAATTATATATCATCCTATATTTTATAGGTACCATACTTCAACAGTTTTGCTATGACTCCAAGGAACAGAAAAAGATGCCATTCCCGAGCCACTGCAAAAGGTCGATACCTTTCAGCTCCTCTGGGCATTCCACAGTCCACCAATCTCGCACCAACACCTGGTGGAGGAGTTGGACTGTCCAATCCCAGGATTTTTGACGATTTTTTCCCAAAACTAGGATTGATAGCATCAATCTCCTCACAAGTTCCAAAAAATATGAGATTGATACCACACATATCCACAAACTATGACACTATGAACAATTGTGAACAATTATGAACAGCATTGAAGCACATTTCCCGTGAGAACCTGCCTGGAAGCTGCGAGAGGCCGTGAGGGGAAAATGCGTTCCCTGAGACCAGTGCTTCCCGGTGGTGTAGAGCACCACGGGCAACAAACTCCTGGAAGAAACGGAGGCTGAAGAATCTGAAAATCATCTCATGAGATGATATGAGATGTACAAATTCTCTGCTTCAGCACCACTGCCACTGTTGAACAAAATTCTGAATCATTCTGAATCGTGGTCCGTTGTATTCAATACACAAAGGGATGTGAAACTGCATTGCTGTGCTGTCAAGTGACAATGTTGCATAGTAGCGACATCGTTTGAAGGGATCCACAATCTTGTCATGCGACCTTTCAGCTGCGACCAATGTGCTTCGGGATCTAATTTCGAAACGGACAATGACAAGGAAATTGACAAAACATGCCATCTATATATCCATAATTTGGGATAAGATTACATGTTCCATCATTGAATGTTTGGTTAAATTGTACTTACCCCATCAAAATGGGTTCTTTACCACATTTTCCCCCAAAAAAATGGATGAATTCCTATTGAGAGCTCATAGGCTCTGAGGTTGGGACGTGCTGAATTTCCAACTGGCCCAGCAAATGCCCACGATCCTCGGAACGTGACACGGCCAAAAACGGGGAAAACCTGAAAGTGATGATTCATTGATGATCGTATTTGATGGGTTTTTATATGGTTTTGTTCTGGAAAAGGCAACTAAAGGCAACTAAAGGCATGTTCATGTCACTATTGCGATGTCGATCTAAAGGCATGTTCATGTCACTATTGCGATGTCGATCTCTGAAAACATGATAAGATATGACAACATGATAAATTTTTGAAAAACATAATACAACCCAACCATCAGCATACCATTAAAAAGTGCTGCATTTTGGATCATTTTGCCAGGTCTCATCAAGATGTGGCCCAGCAGTTCCATGGCAGCTCCAACGTAGGTATAGGCTGTGGTCACTGTGGTCCACGGTGAGGGCCCTTTGGCTCGCCCCTTGGCTCGCCGCTTGCTGACGCTCTCGGGATCGCGGTGGGTTGAGTCCTGGGACTTCAATGGATGGGTGGGTTTTCCCTGGGAAAAATCGAGAAATCTATAGGAAATCCCTGGTTTTTGACCCAGTTCTAAGGTTTACAGAGTTTCCTGGCCATTTTTCCCATACCATCCATACCTCAATTTTGGGAGTTGTGAATTCTTTCTTTGGACGATGACAAGTTGATGCCCCAGCTATGGAGAAAGCTGTCCTTCAGATCGGATTGCCCGAAGACAGAGGACCAGCAGGATCTCAGGAAAGCCAATGCTTCCTCTTTTGCCATCGCATGTAATGTCTATGAACTTCTCAACCACTCAGGTTGAGAGGAGGCCTGATAGAATACTTGAGCCGAGAACGACCGATCAAGTCGGATCACTATCAATTCTGGAGGCCAACTGAAAAACTGGTGACCCCACTGCTACCTGTCCCATATCCTTCCCATTTCTCTCCTCATCTTTCCTATGGATCCTATGGATCTCTACAGGCTGACATGCTCGGTTGAATCTCGGGTCCCGCGCCGTTCGGGCAATCCTTGCAAGCTTTGGGGACGTGAAACGGTGAACCCTAAGGCCCTAGGAGCTTAACCCTGGTTGATGGTATCGAGCCTGGCATTTTTATGGAAAATCTGCAAGGAATTTACAGATTGGAGACCTCACAGCCGACCTTTGGAGGTTTTGGGCACCCACACCCTCGGATCTCTCCAAAGTGACGGGCGTTGAGATCTCCCAGCAGAATCACCGGACTGTCTCGTGCCTGCAGCCGGGGGCATCCCTTTGAGCATCCCTTGAGGCGTCAGGACGTTTCGGTCCCACCTGGTACTGCCCGGTGAAACTGGTCAAAGTCGCCATGATCTGCGTCACCTGCGATGCGAAACATCGGTCAACTGCTCAACACACTTGCAGCTTGATGATCCCCTTACCCAAGGAGTGAGTTCACAGTTCACGCACATACTTTTAAATTAATTTAGTATCCAAGATCCGATCGACCATCGACAAGCCGCCAAGCCTGTCTCACCCGAATGGCAGTTTGGGCCTTGTTGTAGGGGTCCTGCACCAGGCATCACCAGGCCACATCTCACCATTACCAGATCATGGAGAACCAGTTCTAATATATGGAGTTAATAGACTTCTATGATGTTAGTAAAGCAATCATAAACCACCCCACCCATAAATCTATGAAAAATCTTAGGATGGTTTACATATGCTTTACCAACACCTTTTTATGTCATTTTTTTCCAGTTTTCCAATCCTTGGCCAAGTGGGTGGAGACCACCACCAGTGGCGCCACGTTGTTCCCCGCTGTCTTCCACTTCAACAAGACCTCACCGCTGCCGCGGTGCCGGTGCCTGTTATGAATTGAACAAATCCCTTCCCAAGATATCCAAGATCCAAGATATACAAATACCAAAGATTACCAAAGCAATTCCTGGTTGAGTAGAATTTGTAAATTCACAAATTGGGGGACCATGAGGGGTATTACTACCCTACGGATCCCTACGACAGGAGACATCTCCAACCATGGCACCATGAGGCAGCTTCTGTCTCTTTTCTCGCGTCCTTTATCCTGGCAACGGAACATTTAAGCTCGATGGAACCAGGGAGTCTGGATTGGTGTCGTCAAACGAATATGGCATATGGGAAAACCACTAAGATCCCATGGTTGGTGATTCTCCCACTGACGGAGGACAGGGACAAAACATGGGCAGCTCACATCATTGCCGTCGATCATGTCGAATCCCTGCCGGCCAAACAGCGAAGCAGCTAAAACTCAGATCATGAAATTCATCGAAATTCATCATGAATCTCTGAATCTCCTTGAATTTTTGTGTTTTTTGTGTTTTTTGTTTGGCTTTCTCAACTTGGCTCTTGCCTCACTGGCCACCAGCTCGAACTTACTACGCCGCCAGAAGATCCCGCAGCCGTCCGCGCTGTTGGCGCGCGGGCGCTTGCGGAACACTGAGTCCTGACGGGGCAGGATGGCCCTGGGATGGCCATGGGATTGCCATGGGGCTGGACACGAAATGTGGCAGCGTGGCAGAGAAACGAAATCCGGGTCCCACTCGCCCTCGAGGCTCTGCCCGAAAAAGGCATGATCATCCAACTCAACCTGAGACCAAAGTTGGCTCATGGAGATCACAAAGGCCCCATCCTGATCCCAAGGGTCACCAGCGACACGACGTCGGGGTCCAAGTCCACGATTTGGTTCACCAGTTTCTCTCTCCGCGACTCCCACCTGTCCCAGCTCAGCTTGTTTTGAAGGAATGGTAAGTCACGCGGCAGAGGGCCTAAAGAAGGCATCTTGCGTTTCCACCTCTTGGATTTGCTCCGGAGACAAGATGCCTGGCTCGTGAAATGTCTTAAAATATGTAAAATGTTGTGGGTCTTCGATCCAAAGCAACCAAAACCGTGCGCACTGCTTGGTGTGAGCTCGCCTTCAACATATTCCGGCCACTTGTGTTTGGGCCTCAAAGCAAGAAAACAACATGATATAAAATGATCCTAGAGAGTGTCTACCAATGAGCTACCAATGACCTTTCAGGATGTTTATCTGGTCTCCAAACATGTTGCTGCTGTGTGAAATTCCCTTGCGAACTTGCTGTGTCTGGCAGTTGAGTACTGCACGTACCATCTGGCCCCCGTTGATTGAAGAGCTTAAAAATCTTTTCCCGCGCCTGCCAAGCAGCCAACCTTGTGACTTCAGCATTTTGCCCTTGATCGAGAGTGAATGAGAATTTGTGGCACATTTCCTGTGGGCCGTCTACCCTGCCATGGTGATATATCCAAGAAGGTAAGCGTCTGTTCTATAGGGGGATGCAAGGTGGGTATACCCAAGATCAGCACCTTCACTCGCTGTTTCAGCTTAGCCAATCAACAAATAATATGAAAAAATCCCAGTAGCACACTTAATCTAAACATAATCCAAGAATAAGTCATATCCAATCATATCCAACATTTTTGTGCTCTTAACATGTTGAAACAACTTTACCAAATTGAGGTTAGGTCGGTTGGATCGGTTGGATCGGTTGGGTTGGTGTCGTGCTGGAGCGCTGGGAGCGCCTCTGGCTCAATCTCTGCCCCGTAGAGAAACCACGGCTGTGTGTTTTTGCCCAGGTACCTATCCAATCTGGGCACTGAAAATCCTCATAAACATGTGATACAATAGAAACATGAACATGTCAAAATATGTCAAATATGTAATTATAGAGGTACATACTCATCATTTCTTCATTGTATACACAATCACACACAAATATGTCTGTATCTATGCTGTCCAGTTTAACACACCATCCAAAAGCATTTTACTGCAGCATATGTGGTGTAATCCCCGTGGCTCACGAGGCCAAAATGTTGTACTGCATCACAGACACAGTGCGCCGCACGTCCTTCTGAACGCCTTCCAGGGCCTGTCGTCGAAAAAAAAACAAACAGGAAGAAACAAATAGTTTTTTTTTCTAAAAAACATATATGTTTTCATCTTTTTTCATCTTTTTTCTTTTTTTTTCCATCCTTTTTCATCTTTTTTCATCTTTTTTGATCCCACGGTTGATCTGTCCATCCTTTCTTGACAAAACCTTGACCGACAAAAGCTGATACGGAAGCGGCCGGTGGCATTTTTCACCTTCTGGGCTCTTTGCAATTTCCATCATGGAACTAACTGTCAATTTTCGCAATGGGCTACAACATGCTAGAGCTATCCGTTTTCTAAGTCGAACACTTTTTGCTACATATTTCAAATTTCCGAAATATTTCCTGACATTCTTTGTGACACATGGGTTCCAGCCATGTCCAAACCATCCTGTACCCTCCAACCTTTGCCATCTGCTGCAGCTGTAGAGCCTAGGAAAAAAGATGGAAAAAGGCGGATTATGATGAAATGCTGTAATGACATCACACAAACCTTAGATTACTATATCTTTAACTCCATCCAGTAGCCAGCAACCTCATCTTTTTCGCTCTTTTTGCTCAAAATATCTGCACCCAAACATGACATACATCACCTTTGGGAAGCTGTTGGGATGTGTTTAGTGCCCATCTGCGGCCTGTTGCTGGATCAATTTCTCCAAAAACTCCACACGGTTCGAGAGGTCACCCTGACACAGAAAGGGACGTTCCGCTTCCACCCAGTGATGTTTCTCATGTTGCTAAGGCCGCCAGGCCTCTGTGGCAGCTGTGGTGACAGTCTTGCCCTCAGTTCCAAGATGTTCCAAAATGTTCTAACGTATTCTAATCCTCAGTTATGGATCAGTTATGAGCAGTTATTATCAACAAAATCAACATTTCTCAAAGATCTGCTTGGGTCCTCAGTGGCCGACGGACGGGACGGACGGCTTGCTGCCTGCAGCTTGACAAGTTCAAGGACAGGTCACAGCCCAGCAGTTCAACGCCAAGGCGCTACTGGAGTTGGAGGTGGGCGCATCATTCTCCTCAGGTTGTGGCAACAGCAGCAAGGCTTGGCTGAACATGGCGATGTTTCGAAGCATCTTATGGCCAGAAAATGGAGATGCCGCATGGACTCCAACGGTGTTTTTTCTCTCTGAATGTGGAGATGTAAAATTTGAGGCTCCCACCAAAACCTTGGAATTGGCAATGCTTCCCGCCCCAGCACCTTAGTTCAGAAATCAGCCTTCCAGGAACTCCTCGGTCCTGTCAGATCTGTCAGCTTTGAGCTTTAAACCCATTGGAACAGCCGCACCGCGGTGGATCCCCCAACTTCAGCTGAAAAATGGTCGGATTCACGACAAGCACGACAAGGACAAATCAAATTGTCTATGTTTTTTTTGCATCCCTTCACTGGTCAAGAGGGTCAATGTCATTTCGGCCTCTGATCTGTATCTCTGAAAGACGATGCGTAGCAAGACATTTGAAAGCTTCCTTTTTTCCCACTGCAAAGTACTTCGCGCAGACATGCGCAGACTGGGTAGGACTAGCTGACTCGGAGATGGCACCAGAATCTTTCATCGCAGCACGTGATATAGAATAGCTAGAGCCAAACATCACACCAAATCTCTCATTTTAGTCATCTCATGTCATCTCAATATTTTCCTCATTGACCCCTTTGTCCTTTTTTGAACCAGGGATACGTTCATCCAGATTCGTCGCAAATCCCGCCGCAGGCATTCCTCACCAAGGCATCACCTTGAAAGGCTGGTCGGCGACGAGATGATGATATGACAATGATTTGTGCTGACATCTTCTGACAGTCAGAATTCGGACAGTCAGATTTTTTCCTGCAAACTTTGAAAGTCAAGCCAAGCTGGCAACTCATTACGACGTTTATGGGGACGAAAATTACTTGTCCATCCCTTTGCCCGGCTATTGAGACTTCAAGCCGTGCTGGAACCTAAATCATCTTCATGTGTCGGCCACGGCAAGCCTGCTAGCAGCCTGAAAATGTTGGAGCCATTCGCGCAGCCATGCAGCACTTGGAATGGGACTGCAGCTAAGCTTGATATAAGCTTGACCAAGTTTAACTGGGAATGACAAATATGTGTGATCATGATAATCATGTGGCTGCCGCATGGTTGCGCAACATTCTCCAATGGCATGTGGTGGCAACAACTTGTGAAATCATGTGACTCCAGCCTCTTGAGGAAACAAAATGGCTGGAAGGAAAACCCCAAGGGAGGCCAAAGGTGTGTGGTGTCTAATGTCGAAACGTGTCTGAACAGCCCAGAGAAGACCAGCAACTTGTACATCGTCAACTGTCCATTGCGCAAACTCTTGCAAGACAGTCACCTCTACGCACTGTGGTTTTCGCATTGCGTTCATACACAGTTTTGTGCATTTTGATACCCATTCTGCGTGTGTGAAACATGGAAGGGTTGACAGGCCCAACATCAACATCAATCCAGAAGATCACACAATTGCGGAGCCGTTCAATGCCAATTTTCATTGTAGCTTCAGGCCTCCAGTGGCACAAGGGCGCGATTGACATCCGTGGCTAAAAGGGCTGCACCAACTGAACTGCTCCCATTGACACATCTCTGCAGCCAAGATTCTGCGTGCTCCAACATTTTTACAATCTCGTCGTGGCCTTTCCTTCTTGCATCGTCCAACGGAGTGTTGCCTGAGTGCTGGGACCAAGACCCATGTGACGCTGCTTCCCGCATCACATGAGTTGTCTTGCTGTAACTTCAAGAGCCATATTGAAGAAAGTACTAAGATAATATTTAATATACATATGTCCATGTATCAAGTTCATGAGATACAAAAAAAATCCTGTTTCATTCTTCACGCCAATACAAGTTGCTCCAAAGGCTATTCACGCCCCATGTTGATTGGACTGAAGTTCCATCTCGCCCGAGACAAGAGGTTGCCATTAACTTTCATGGTGACTTTTGTAGACTGTGCTGAAAATTGTGTAATGAAGTAGTGTGCAGTTTCACATCACTTGGGCATCATGTTCTTGCATTCAAAGTTGAAGGAGACCTTTAAATTAGAAACCCCCAACACATGACACAGTTCAACTGGAAATGAAAGGAAGCTCAATTGACTCAGTGCCAAATCAATCTATCCAAGACCAACTTGTCGCTTCTCTGTTTTTTCGGAGCACGTAATCAAGGTATTCCCGAGCCAGCCGTTTTCAAGTGAAATGCCAGCCAACCCACACAATATCAATGGACGGTTCCTGTGCTAGTGAAATGTCCAGAAGTGCTGGGAATTGCAATGACAAAAACCAGCTCAGTGGTTGTCCATACATTTCCAACCAGCAGAGAGATTGTTCGTTCAATTGTGTAGATTTGGGCTCTGGCGAGACGTCTTGACAGATATCACTATGATATCACGAACAAAGACAGGATGTATGCTCATCATTTTCACGCAACGTATGTCACATGTGGAGGCTGGATGTGCGTTGTGCATATTCATAGATACATCGATCATTATGCATCTCTACATCCACTTGCATCGGCGGTGTCTTCTAATGCTGCTTCTATTGTCTCAAGCAATGCTATGTCTTTAGGATGTCGAGAATGCCTTTCTGAACGCGTATTTTGTCTGCGCATCTCCAATCACCTTGAGCTAAAGAAGCCTAATGCCTGAGGACCCTAAAACCCCTTGATCATCGCCTCACCATGGGAAGTTCAACATTCAACAAACAAAACGGCCGCCATAAAGTAATAACTAGTAATCAGATATAATAGGAGAAGTAAGCAAAAACCATCAAAAGCCCATCACATCTCCCAGCCGAGGCCCCCGGCCTTCGTTGTCTTTCACAGTGACGGAGGCTTTCGCCTCGAGGAGCAGCTTCACCGCCTCCACTTGGCCAGCGTACGCCGCATAGTGCAGCGGGGCATTGCCTCGGGCGAGCGACTGCTCCCAGAAATGTCCTTCTGATGCAAAGCAAAGCGAAGACACCGAAGATTGTGAAAAGTTTATCAACGCCGAAAATATCCGAGAAGCTGCACATCTAAGGCTCCATCAGGAGCCCTAAATACCCCCAAGTTCAATTCTTTTCATTATTGAAATTATTGTTGTTGCAATCGTGTGACATCTTGTGTTCAAATTCTGTCCGTGTCATGTGGTTGTTTATCTATATACATCATTTCAACTGGAAACTGCTGAAGCCTCAAAACCTACCAAACCCACCAAAACCGCCCAAAGTTTTACATTTCATTCACATCTTGAGTTCGAATATTTTTGGCACCTTGAAATCTCCCCCAAGCACCGTGCATCCATCTCTTCAGGGCCGAGAGGCCTTTGTTGCTCCTGGCGTCGACCTCGGCCCCCGCCGCCAGCAGCACCCGGCAGATCTCCGCGCGGCCGTAGATCGCCGCGACGTGCAGCGCGGTGTCGCCGACGACGTCCCTCGCGGCCACGGCGCCGGGCACCGTCCGCAGGATGTGGCGGATCCCCCCGAGGTGACCGCGGCTGGCCGCCAGGAGGATGTTGTTGTCGCCTCGGAGCACCACGGGCCGCCCCGGGAGGGCACCGGAAGGGCCGCAGAGGCCACAACGGAGACCCAAAAAATCATGGAACACGTCGAATGTTTTGTATCTTTTTTGAGTCAACAACGATGTGTATTGATGTGTATTGATGTGCATTGATGTGTATTGATGTGTATTGATGTGCATTGATGTGTATTGATGTGTATTGATGTGTATTGATGTGTATTGATGTGCATTGATGTGTATTGATGTGTATTGATGTGCATTGATGTGTATTGATGTGTATTGATGTGCATTGATGTGCATTGATGTGTATTGATGTGTATTGATGTGTATTGATGTGCATTGATGTGCATTGATGTGTATTGATGTGTATTGAT